AAGTGTAAAATACAGGAAAAATTTTTATATTGACTTCTTTGCGAATGGTGTGTCGCTTAAATAAATTTTACCGGAGCTAAGAAGTCTCGGCAATGACGAATCAACGATCCTTACTTAGTTTAAGCGAGGAAGGGACGCAGATCAAAGTATAGTCATCAATTGTATCGTAATTTCGTGTCTCGTCACATAACACACATATCAAGCTTTCCCTGGAAAAAGGTTCGTCGACATCGAACGCGTCAAACTGATCATTACAAAGGAAAATTCGCTTCGATTCGAAAGCTCGAACTTCCCGCTTTCCCGGAGTATCAATAGATCGATCAACCGTGTCCGTCAGTTAATCACTCGACAAAACTATCCAGCAAAAAGTGACGACGCACGATCACGTACAAGCGTGTCGATTATCCAAACGACAATAGTGTTAATTATGACGTACCGCTCGTTGACTCGATGTCCACACGGAGAGACCACTTGCACGCGCAAACAATGGAACGGTTAGGGAGCTAAATGTTTCGGTAATTGCTCTAATGGTTGGCTGATTGCGATTTCCTATGGCGTAGAGACGCCACGTTCAACGGGGATGCGGTGACTTCAGACACGAAATTTCCCCAATTTTTTCCACCTCTCTCTCTTCTCCGCTTCCCATTTCCTTCCACGGGACACTGCGCGACCGGAAGCCGGAAAGGCGGAACGATTTCCAGCGAACGGAGAAACAGAAAAGTGTGTAATCGTTAGGCTGTAACGACGGAACGGGAGAGAACGGTGCTTCGTCAACTGGAATCTGATCGATTCGTAATCAACCACTACCTACGACGTCCTCACCTTTCAACCCGAGACAAAGTGGAAAGGGAGAAAAGCGAAAAGGTCCGTCGGAGGTTGTCCTTTCGGCTGAAGTTGTCTTTTGTGTGTGTACCGAGCACGGTACTTGCCGCCATTGTGCTTTAGGTTCACTGGAACTCAAAGGGTTAAGGGTTCAACTTTGATAATAGTTACTTTGTTGTTTTATTTTTGATTTCAACGAAACTGGTCGGTTTATATCGGGTCATTTCGTGAATTTTAACGAAGAACTAAAGAAGTTTTACAGCGATCGCGTTATGGCTCTAAAAAGTGGGAAGAAGTATTATAAAAGAAGATTGCGTTCTTTTTTCATCAAATTTAAAGGTGTGTTTGAAATATTGATCTAACTTTCATTATAAAATTCAGCATGAAATTGTATTCTCGAATAATATTTCGTACTGTTTTCTACAAGAACCCAGGGCAATTTGTTGAAGCGCGTCGTGTTTCTCAGACTTTAGCCATCAGACACCTTAATGAAAAAGGTGGATCGAAGTAGAACAAGAAGATCACACTTTTTTTCATAAAATTTGAAAGTGCGTTTGAAATATTCGTCCAAATTTCGATATAAAATTAACTTATAGAGTGACCTAATTTTATTCTGGAGAAATAACTCGTATTAAGTATTTCGTACGAGAATTTACGACAATTGGTAAAAGCGTATCGTGTTTCTCTGACGTTAGTCATTCGAGACCTTAACGAGAAAGGTGAATCGAGGTGAAACAAGAAGATTACGGTTGTTTAATCAAATTTAAAGATGTCTCAAATATTGATTTAAATTAACTAATGAGATGACCTGACGGTAATCTGGAGTAATATCTCCTACTGAGTATTTCTTATAAGAACTTAGGACAATTGGTTGCATCACGTGATGTTTCTCAGACGCTACTCGTCAGAGATCTTAGCGAAAAAGGTAGACCGAAGTAGAACAACCAAACTACATTTTATTCATGAAATTTAACCCATTGCACTCCGAAATTTTTTTTTCATTTTCTTTCCCATAACTCCGCTTTACTTTAAGTGTTTTATTTAAGAAGCACTTCGAAGGACAATTGGTTGATAGGAAGCAATGTAAACAATTGCTTCGTTACATATATATGACACTTTTCTCTAACAATTGCACTTTTTTTTTTACAGAAAAGGGTCGTATACACAACCGGCCAAAAGTTTGGAATCACCTCCCACGTTTCATCGATATTAAATCCGCTGCTAATTTTTTATAGATTTGAAGTTTATCTCAATTCTACACTTATCAATTTATCTCATATCAATTGCTTCATATGATAAAAAATTCTCAAAGTCGCTGACTTTTTTCTGCAAATTTTTGTGTAAATTGCAATGCTCGGTGATTCCAAAATTTTGCTTATCTAAGTATAAAAAAAAATATCGCGAAATATAATACATTGTGGCGACCGCCACGCACTTAAGCCTGGCGAATCTTGGTCCTCGAGGACAAGAGTATTGCCTCGGCAATTCAGGCCCGCGCCCCCACTTCCTGGGACTTTCCCAGGGAAAAGGGGCTACTTAAGGGACCCCCGAAAAAGGCAGGAGTATTCTGCGCGCGCATCACATAGTACATTTGAAATTAGTTTAAGCATTACGTTTAAATAAATATATTGTTGTTACCCACATTGCGAGTAATCATTTGCACCACGTCACTTCCAAAACATATGTAAACTGGCAACTTGAAAATGTCGACTGTGACTCGACCTAGGAGTATCTGTGAATAAAATTGACGTCGAGTCAAACTCGACAAAGGAGTGTCAAAGGGTTAACAGTGTGTTCGAAATATTGATCTAAATTTCGATATATAATAAAGTGACCCAATTTTATTCTCGAGCAATATCTCCTATCAGCTACACATTTTCTACCAAGAACTCAGTACAATTGGTTGCAACACGTGATGTTTCTCAGACGTAGCTCATCGGGGACTTCGAACGAGAAAGGTGGATCGCGTAGAACACTGTACGTATTGTTGTAAAGTAGGTTCTCAAGGGTGAAGCATTTTGTATGGGCGTAGTAACATAGAGAATCGATGTGTAGCCCCATTTAAATAAAGAGCAACTGCATATTACACTCCGGCACGAGATCGTATCATAAGGAGATAGTCCTCATTAAGCCACTCAACTTTTCCCTCTATCAATTTGCCCATCTTCATTTAGAAAAGAGCTATGCCCCGCCCCGCTTTCTACTACCGTGCTAAGAGCATCGCGGAAAATTAAAGTGCAGCAATAATCCTGCACATCCTGAAACGCGTCTGTTATTCCATAGAGCAGCCTCATATTTCTCTCTCTCTCTCTCTCTATTAAAAATCACGTAACAATAGAAAACGATATATTTTCTTCCGTGGCGACTAATCGAGAGCCAGAGAAAGAAAAAAGGAGGGCATTGTATCCCACCCCCGTTCGGGAACATACATAACAATCACGTCTAGAAATACAATTACTGTAACGGAATACCTAGAACGGTGAACAAATAATATTCGATATAAACAAATGCGAGTATACAATTTCGCCCCGCGAACCATTAAAAACAAAAACGTTTACCGGCACCGACGATGCGGATCGAAACCCGCTCGTTTGTGCCGTATTTACGAGGCACGAATTTAATAAATATCCCGAGCGATATCCGTGGCGCACACAACAACCAGCCAGAAACGATATTTGCAATTTGTATGGCAAAGCAAGAATTTCCCGTAATTAAATTATACTTCGCGGTGCCCGACAAAATTCCCGACGGTGGTAAACCCTCGTTACCGATCGCCCCGTCATTATAATCCCCGCGCAAAATAATCATTTCTCCGACCAAACAGACTTTTCCATCCTTCCACGTTGCTAATGAACTTTGCGGTCGATAAACCTATTCGCGCTTCCACCTTGTGTTTATACGCGAATTTTCGACGTTAAACAAGCTACCGCGATTCGTTGGTGATTCGAAACGGGAATTCTTAAAGGGGTGTACTATCCTGAGGTGCGTAAATAGGGGAAGTTTGGGAATTTTTTTGAAAGGTAAGTAATGGACGAAGGGTTTCAATTTTTTGGGGGGATGTAAGTGTAACTTTCAGATTTATTCTGCGATTTTTTGGAAGTAAAAGTGTTGCAAAATGGTGGAGTTATTCGATGACTGCGAAACGTCTTCTGTTGTATCGTCCATTGAAATTTTTCGACGAAAATTTTAGTTATTATAGATATGATGGCAATTTTAATACATTGAATGCCGCGGGGGTGATCGACGAGCGGTGCCAAGATTAGTGAAGGCATTCAATTTGAATAAATGGTAATATTTGTAAAATTTTCATCTAATGTATCTTATTTCTAACTGTTGACATATTATTTATGCATATTGGGGTGCGTTGTATTTAAATAAGAAATTCATTTCGGCGCTCTGGACAAGTTACGCAGAATTGGTCTACCATTCAACGTATTAAGAGGAAAGACCTCCTTTACCAAAAAAGAAACTTCAAACTTTTCTAAAATATTAAATAATTGAGATAAATCGGGAGAAGAAAAATCGACTAATAACTCCTGCATTTTGCAACATTCTCACTTTTTAAAAATTGGAGAAAAATCTGTATGTTACATTTATATCCTCAGAAAAAAAAAACAGAAATTCTTCATTTACCATTTACCTACGAAAAAAATCCTCAAACTTTATTCTCAGACGTCCCACGGCGGTATCCTCCCTTGAACCGTCTTTTTTATTTTTCTCGTTATGGGAAACCCGTTAATTTATCGGTAACGAAGCGGGGATCTTGGAAGGGCGGTTTCATCGAGGTACCAAACGAACCGAACGCAATCGAAGGCTCTGAGAATGTTCCCCAGAGCGGTATCAATCCCAATTCTATTTCCACGAAGGTCCACAGGATTCGTGGTTGCGTCTGCGACGCGCAAAGAGCCGATAAATAATAGACGTGTGCGTGGTTATTATTCCCGCGGTGGTATTTTCTCGCGAGCTTGGGCTTTTTGGTTCGCGCGATTCTTCACGAAACAGGGGAAGAGAAAAACACCGTTGCTATTTTCTTCGCGAGGATATTCCATTTGGCGGTTGAAATAAAAGAGTGTATATCGACGAGTGTTTCGGGAGAATGGAAGTGGTCCACCCTTTTGGTGGAAGATTACGGGGGTTGATACGTGTTGCTGAAGCTGGCCTCTGTTCGATTCTTGCAGGTATTCGACAAGCACAATCGTGGATACATCACCGCGTCCGATCTCAGAGCTGTGCTGCAGTGCCTCGGCGAGGACCTGTCCGAGGAGGAAAGTAAGTATTGATTCTAGTTATTGGTATTAATTGAAGGGTGGGTGGGGAAAGTAATAAATCATTCGGGACGGAAAGAAATTAGTATACTGTTGGAAAATGATTGTAGACAGTAAGAAATATGTCTGTGACTAAGTTTTGTAATAATTTTGTTGGTATTAATTGAGTAGGTGGGCAGGGAAATTAGTAAATGAATTTATTAGGATGCGAAGAAATTAGTATCTTGATGGAAAATTATTGCAGAAAGTAAAAAAACTAGGTCCATGATTAAGTTTTGCAATAATTTTGTTGGTATTAATTGAAGAGGTGGGCAGGGAAATTAATGAATTTATTTATTAGGATGCAAAGAAATTAGTAGAATGATGGAAAATCATTTTAAAAAATTAGAGAAGTGTGTCCATAACTTATTTTCTCAATAAGTTGCGAGAGTCGTTCAATAATTTTTTTGGTATTAATTAGGCAGAGAAATTAATAAATTATTCAGGCTGAAAAGAAATTAGTATACTGTTGAAAAATCATTGTAGAAAATAAGAGAAATACGTCGATGACTAATTTTCTCAATAAGTTACTAGGGTCGTTCAATAATTTTTTGGTATTAATTAGGCAGAGAAATTAATAAATTATTCAGGCTGAAAAGAAATTAGTATACTGTTGGAAAATCATTTTAAAAAATAAGAGAAGTGTGTCCATAACTTATTTTCTCAATAAGTTACTAGGGTCGTTCAATAATTTTATTGGTATTAATTAGGCAGAGAAATTAATAAATTATTCAGGCTGAAAAGAAATTAGTGTACTGTTGAAAAATCATTGTAGAAAATAAGAGAAATACGTCGATGACTAATTTTCTCAATAAGATGCAAAAGTCGTTCAATAATTATGTTGGTAATAATTAGGCAGGCAAAGTAATAAATCATTCAGGATGAACAGAAATTAGTAGATTATCGGGAAATCATCGCAGAAAATATGAGAAATATGTCCATGACTAATTTTCTTCATTAAGTCAAAAGGGTTATTCGATAATTTTATTGGTATTCATTGAAGAGGTGGGCAGGTAAAGCAATAAATCATTCAGGATGAAAAGAAATTAGTAGACTGTTGGAAAATCGTTGCAGAAAATAAGAGTACAAAACAATAAGCAAAGAGACAAAGAGCTCTGGTTAAAAAAATATCTAAATAACAAGCACAATACTTTCAAAATCATAACTTATCTCTGTTCCTCTGCCGTCTATCTAAAACAGCGGTTTGACAACTATTTCAGTATATTAAAAAAAATATGGAAAAATTAGGTAGAGAGGTTCTGACATAGTCCAGATCTCGTCCCATCAAATTTTTTTATATTTCACTCCCCTTTTTCGTATTATTTCAATCTTCTCCAGAGCAAAAGATACGTTCACCACTTCTTAAGTGAAACTGCATAAAACCATAGGTTGTAAAACAAAGGATTCGAGTAGTTTTTCAAGTATTTTACAATAACACACAGAAGGAGCAACGTTTCATTCATCTAGAAAAAGATTATGACAAATGTCCTAGTTATGCGTCGCATGAGTAACGAGTACCTTGATATATCACACGCTACTCCATACGCAAAAGGCTAAGAACTGCAGGGAACCGCAAGGAATCACGTAAGAACCACATAGATTGATATATTACAGGGAGTCATAGTGGTTCGAAAGTTCTTACTGCCATAACTCTCGTAACGTCTAAGAGACTCCCCACGTTTTTGGAAGCTCTCCTATAGCTTCCCCCCAGTCTTTTCGCCGTATCTGGTTCCTCCATAATTCTGAAACACACCTAGTCGTTTATATGATTCCCTGCGGGCGCGTCCGACGTGAAAGTAGAAGTAAAAGTAGTCTATACCATGTGATAGGTCAGACAACGAATCACGTATACTCCGAAGAACCTCCAAATATCATTACCGGACATTTGTAATTTATTTAATTTATTTATTATTTATTTATTATTTGATTTATTTAAAGTTGTGTTATTCGCGACTCAGATACAATTGAGGCGTTTGACAGAGAAAGGGCACATACGCCAAAATGCCATTTCAAAGCTTTTATTATCGGATGACTTAATAAAAAGTGAGGCAATTAAATCCAAAAGTCTGGAATCACCTTCCACTTTTCATCAATATTAAATCTGCTGCTAATTTTTTATAGATTTGAAGTTTATCTCAATTCGACTTTTATCAACTTATCTCATATCAATTGATTCGAACGATAGAGAATTCTCAAAGTCGCTGACTTTTTTCTGGAAATTTTTGGGCAAATTGCAATGCTCGGTGATTCCAAACTTTTGGCCGGTAGTGTACATAGATATAATAACGCATACCTGAGTCGACTGAAGCGATTGAATGAAAAGGAGCAGAAAAGCTTACGTGCCCTTTTTCCACCAATATCCTCAATTATTCTCACAGTATTACACAAAAAGTACTGCGATCAATTTGAAAATTCGTAGAAATTATAATTCAAACGCTTTCGCTACCTCGAGTTTAAATAATTCCGCTCGATTATTTCCGACGCACGGTTAATTGCGCTTAATTAGTCGGCAGTGTTAAGCGAGCTAGAGAAATTGATTCGTCGTTTGTAAACTCCGTGGAACAATAGAGGGGACTGGTTGGAACCAGGCAACGAACGAGGTGGCGAAACAAAAACGAGAAGCACGCGGAAAACTTTTCTCCCGATAAGCAATTCCGCGCTTGTCCTTCGTTCCCGCGACAAATCGCTTCCAATCTTGTATCCCGGTGCACCCTTAAAACGCGCGAAATGAGGATCGAGCGACGATTTTATCCGGGAAAGTTTCCCCCCGATGCGCGTTCCAATCGTTGCACCGTTCTCGCCAAAACCAAATCCCCTTTTCTCCGCCGATTACCATATATAACATCCGCTTCGAACTTTCTTTCAAATTTCTCTCGGAAAAATTCACGAGTCCAGACATCAAGAATCGCTCTAGCTATCTTGGATAATTAAATAGGGGACAATTCCCAATGTTATTCCGAGGGTTACGACGTCTAAGAGAACGAGGCAAAATGGAAGTAAAAAGGAGGATACAGAGAGAGCTTGTTAGACTTTCAATTGGTTAAGAATTGTTTAGTAACACGTTCCGTGCCGAGCCGTTTTTGAGCAAGTGTCATTACCAGTTTGCTAAATATATGTATGTAGGATCGGGACGGGTAGCAGTCTAGCTTGAAGGATAAGAAAGTTTAATGTAAAATAAAATAGAATAGAATCAATAACATCCGCTCACGCTCGCGGTTCGACAGACAAAACCGCGAGGTACCGCATCTCTGCGCTTTCATCTGTTTTCTGCCCGCTTCCAGAATGCTCGCGATGCCGGCAACGGTTGTCACGATTGCAACGTTCTCGAAGCATCGCAACGAGACGCCCTCGCTCCCACATATATTACAGGGGTGGCCAGCTACACTACCTTTGGGAGCCACACTTCAGGAAGGAATATTTCAAAGAGTTATTTATCTATCTTTGATAACAAAACAAACAACGAGAAGCTGAAAAATCAGTTCAATTTGTTGCGTCGTGGACTTTGATCAAGTCTTATGACCAGGAGTTCTAGCGCAGGTTGACGATAGTTCTCGCTGGTTCGAGGTGTATTGAAACTTCGTTGTTGGGTTAGATGTTTTTCTTTTGGTTCGTTGATGTAGATGTTTTATAGATGATTTCCTTCGGTTCGTTGATTTAGATGTTTGATAGTTGATTTGCTTTCGGTTCGTTGTTGACGATGGTTGATAGATGATTTGCTTTCGGTTCGTTGAGGTAGATGATTGATGAATGATTTTCTTTCGAATCGTTAATAGATGTTTAGTTGAAATTCGGTTATTCTTTTTTTGACGATGTGTCTCGTGCACTCGTTTTACTGTGATTCTCGGTTTTCAGGTGTGTAGATGTATATATAGGCATTAGGTTGGTTCTGATTGGTGGTTGTGTTATGGAGGTGGAAAACGTGGTGTGTTCGGCTATTGGTCGACGAAAACTGTGACCTTTTGGTAACGAATGTTTTATGGTCCCGAGTGTTTTTGGGACCTATTGTCTGAGTGTCGCGCTGGTGCGTCCACGGAGGGTATATTGCGGTCTTCCGAACGTCGGCACCTCGGTCTGGCGGCCAAATGCGACTAAGTAATCCGCCGAACCGAGACTTCGTGGCGTCCTCATCAGATCGCAAAACAATGTTTTAAAGTTCACCCGCAGATCTTCCTTGAATGAAATAAAATAGTTACTTTTGGACATTGATCAGTTTTAGTTTACCATATTTCATGCGTACATTTTATTTGCATAAGAGCCTCACCACTCGTCTGCGAGAGCCGCGCTGTGGCCACTCCTGATGTATTTATATATTTTTGAGCTCGGAATTTATCTATTCGTAAACTAAATATCGAAACTATAAAATGCACTGTATAACAAATACATGACTTTATTGAAAATACACAAGAATTCTTGGAAAATGGTACGCGTGGCGGGAAACGCGTTAACCCTGTCACTACGGCAGATTTGAACGCGTAACGTGGGTGACTGACGGTCAATTTTTAACCGCAGCTGCAAAATTTCTTATTTGCCTGTATCGTTTTAAAATTTCGTTTATTAAATTAACCTCTTCAGCGACGATTTTCTTTCAAATTAGAAAATATTGATCTAATTTTTGATGTAGTTACTTAAACCTCTTCAGCGACGATTTTCTTTCAAATTAGAAAATATTGATCTAATTTTTGATGTAGTTACATTTATATTCATGTTAAATCGATAGCAATTAAACTACTTTTCTTAGGAGATTTTTCGAGATTTCGGGAGATTGTGTTTTTCATATTTTCTCTAAAATTTAAAGGTACACATACACTACCGGCCAAAAGTTTGGAATCACCTCCCACTTTTCATCGATATTAAATCTGCTGCTAATTTTTCATAGATTCGAAGTTTATCTCAATTCTACTTTTATCAATTTATCTCATATCAATTGATTTGAGTGATAAAAAATTCTGGAAATTTTTGTGTAAA